GGGACGCCAAAATTCCAAATTACTAGTATTTGGGATTTGGGATTTGGGATTTCGGCAAAAAATACTAATCATAATTTAGGATTTGGGATTTGGGATTTCGGCATTTGGGATTTCGGCATTTGGATTTTGAATTTGGGTGGCAAGTATAATATTGGATACCCGATATATGCCCAATATTAGGAATACACCATGCACATATCGGGTACCCGATATGTGTATGTTTTATCAATTTTCAACTAGTGCTATTAACTACGCTATCTATTACACTATCGATTATGCTATTAAATACACTATTGATTATGCTGTTTATTACACTGTTGATTACACTCAGATCTACTGTTGTAATATCTAATAGTTGTATCAATTTCTAAATAATTTATGCTAATAATTTCCTATAAAATATGAAATTAAACTAATAAAATATGGTTATAAGTTAATACATGCTAATAAAACAATAATATATTAAATGAATAAACTAGAAATATAATAATAATAAGATTTGACAACTAGGGTCAGCACTGTCTAATTTTCCAGTGTATTGTAGATCCTTCCTTTATTTATAATATAAGAAGAGTGGATGCTGTATTCAAGACTATTCATCTTATTGTCATATCAATATGTAAACAAAGGTCTGAAGAATAACTAATATTCTTAAATTAAATTAACTTAAACTATTGAAATAATTCTCAGAATTTCTCGAGGATCACTAAGATCAACTCAATTCAATTATTTAATAGTGAATTCAAATGAATATTACAAGGTGAGTTCTTTATTGTACGGGGTTTTGGCACATCAAATCAGCTTGTTTGCTTAATAAGATATATATGCTAAAGAGTATTTATACAAGATTAACTCAGGTTTTATTAAGAATTACATGAAAATTTAACAAATTAAAGATTTAATGGAGATAATTAATGTGATTTAACTTTATTAATAAATATAATAATAAGTATAAAGATAAAATATAATATAAAATAAAAATTATAAAAGTAAAGGTAAATATTAAAGGATCAAATTAAGTATTAACTAGAAGAAACAACTCTGTTCTAGTTTCTTAAACTATTGAGAACTATAAAACTTCTGAACTCCTTCTTCTCAGACCAGGAAAGACTCATATTTATATTCCTTTAGTTTGCTGCACGCAACGATCTACTAAATTAATAATTTACCAATTTTAGCAAGAGGTAATTAACCTGGTGATCTACCTGTTATGTGCAATAGGTAATTTATCTAAGTAATTTACCTGGTAATTAACCTGGTAAACCACCTGTTACATGATCTTTAATTTACATAAATTTCAAATAAATAATAAATACATTAAGAAATAATATAATAAAAATAAATTAAATTAATATTCTACACTATTATCCATTCCTTCCATTACTCTAAAAAATCTTTTAAACGTTGGAATTTATTTGTACTATTTTTCTCTTCATTTATATTTTTTAATTTTTCTATATTAACATTCTCATCCTCATCATTTTTGGCATAAGTCCATTGTTGTAAAGGTTGACTTTCATCCTGTTCTATGTTATTATTCTGTAACATAATTTGTTCTAGTTTAATAAGTCTTTCTGTTATATTGACAATAAGTTTTTCAAGCCTATCTAACTGATCGTTATTATCAAATTGGTCTCCATTGATATTTCTTTTTGATTATTCAAAAATGATATTTACTTTGGTAATTTCTATATATGTTTTCTCACAAATTTATTTAGTAAGTATTGACAAGAGTTTAGAATTGTGTTTTTTATATATAATATCAAACTTTTCTAATCTTTCTTCATTTTTTTTTCAAAATTCCTTATCTCTAATGGTACAAGGACAAGAGTTAACCAAGTATGCATCTGAGTAACACCAATGATAAGTTTTAGTCTTAATGTTCATGATTTGAATTTTGACACTATCAGTTTTCCATTGTTAATTTAGTTGAGTATTTCGAAGTTTTTTAGTTTTAAAAGTGATAATGGTTTTTCCTTTTCTTTATATGTCTAAGTTTGTAAAATATAATAGGTTTTCACTTCCAGTTTATTTACAAGAGATATTAAGTCACATGTGGTAATGCCAAGAAATAAGTTAATTAATTTTACTACGTATTGGTCATATGTCTTTAGATTATTGATGTTACAATCAGTTAGTATAACGTGTATCGAATTCAAACTAATAAGGACATTCTATTTTAACAAAATTTTTTTAGCTAGCTCGTTTTCTTTGAAATAGGTAATTGTAGATTGCTATATACCATTAGTTCTTAAGGTTAGGTATTTTACTTTGCCAAAGAAAGTTTTTAAGTTTGCTTTAAATTCGTTGTACTTGGTATCAATAGGAATATTCCAAAACTTTATACCATTTTGCATAAGATTGTTAAGATTTCTATTGTAGATTTGTGCTTTGTATATATAAGCAAGTTTTTTTACATTTTTATTTACATTTACTGTTTGAGCTAGTTGTATTTGTTCTTTGTCATTGAAATATGTAAAGATCATTTTATCTTTGCTATTGAACTTAACGTTAACTGAAATTATATCTGTTTTTAGTTTGAGAAATTTTTTCACATATCTAATTTTCTCCCTTAGGTTTTTTCCAAATATTTTAATGGTATATGTTCAAGCTTTATATTTTTCTACATCTAATTCTTTATGTCATAAAAGTTAGTTGCTATCTATCGAAATAAAAGAAGTAACTGATTTCCTGTTTTCTTTCAAGTTTATTGTTACTTTAAGATTGATTGTATTTTCTTTTGGTTTAATTTTTCTATTAGTAACAATATTTCAACTGGAGTTTGGTATCATTAATAGGTACACAACAGAAAAATATGAAAGTCTCTATAAAAATTGCATCAAAAAACCTTATAAATTAAAAATAAAAAAGAAATTGAAAAACAAATCATGAACATTGTAAGCATTCTTTTTTGAATAAAAATTGTTATATAATATTTATTTAAATTTATATTAATATATTTTTTTCAGAATCATCGCAAAGACATCATAATGAAAAGTTCTTCGCAAGAAGTATTAAAAACCCTGTAGTATTTAAATATTTAAAAAAATTATATAAATTTTATATATAAAATGTTGAAATTTATATTCAAACAAGAATGAATGATTCAGATCTCGAAAAAAAATGAAACTTGGCTTCAAAAATTTCTTAAATTGTTTAGATAATTATCTAGATTTCTATAAATAAAATCTATTTAAATATAAAGAAATTAATATAAAATTTCATATATATAGTAATGTAATATCAAAAAATAGAGCAATAATGTGTATAATGAATAAATTCCATAAAAAATCTTAGTTCATTAATATTGTAGTTGAAATGAATTCAGATGAAATCTTTGAATATGTATTAGATAATAATGTATACTTTGCTTAGATAAAGATCAATATTAATATCTGTGAAATAATAATGAATATTTACTTATTATTGATATTTTATAAATAGATTTTTTTAATAATTGAAATAATAATGAATAATGAAAAACTAATGTATTTTGCACTTGTGTAGTAGTACAATTTCATATTACCGGAAAATCTATTTTTATACAAATGCCTATTATTAGAAAAAATAAATAAATTTAATTTAATAGAAATATAAGTAATAAATGATACAATATATATTATATTATGTTTGATATAAATAATGAATTTTTAGTTATCGCTCTTTGCAAAATTATGCGGTCATGTGATAAAACGATCTACTAATAAAATGCCGAAAACCAGTGATTACAA